CATTCATCTCAAGCTTCTAACAATAAGAAAATTAAGCAAATTGTCGCTCTTGCGAACAAATCCCCTTGCTTTCCCAAGAGTTCCAACGAAGTTCGAAATGTTTAAGATACAGGAATAAAATGAAGAATGCAATACTAATCTAGCGCTAGAAACTCATCATTAGATAGTCTCGTGAAAATAGAAGCCTAGCAAACTTGAGTAGAGAAGCAGACATACAAGGAACGAGCTGCTTAAGAATGTAAAGATAGGTGCTTACTAACGTGTTCTATTTTTTTTTCACCCGAAAGAAAGGAGCAATGCACCTTAAATGAACGGGTTGGTGGAGCTGAAGAATTTATTGCCAACACTAGAGTGGAAACGGCTGAGGCACTAATTCGTTTAGCGCAGAAGAAATTGGAAAAAATTGGAACATTATTTCGTATTAGTTTTAAAGATGAAGGCACAAGACTTGTCTTTGAGACTTGTAACGAATACAATCTACTTGCAAAACTGAAAAGTGTGCAAAAATCAAGCGAAAAAGTGTGGCATGGGAAATGATTAGATTGTTGAATCAGAGTAATTTCCGAGAAAAAACCCATTGGCGCATAGAGTGGAACAAATTTTTAGTTGGGCAGTAAGTAGCTTAAATCAAAATTAACTAGTAATTTCGAGAGTTGAAATGAAAGTTATCTAATTGATAAAATAAGAGCTTAGAAAAGACAATACAAGGAAAACAGAAACATTCTAATGGATGAACTCTATTCAAAGACATTGATAGAATCAAGTTTAAAAGTTGAATAAAAAAATTCGAAATTAATAATATTCATAGAAATGTACAATCAAAACGTTTCCTAGTTAGACAAAGTAATCTATAACGAAACAAAAATTAGAATTCAGAGGAGTTTTCTAGCATTTCTTCCACCAAAAGGACGGAAAAAGGACCACTTTTTTAAAGTTTTTTTTTCGATTTTTTCACCTTCCTTGCAAAATGCTAACAAAGTTTTAATTCAAGCTGCTGAAAAGCGCAAGGTTTTTGTTATGTATCACAGTGATTTTTTTGAGTTGGGGAAGATTACTCAATCTGAATTTTTTTTGGCAAAACTTAATACAATGACAGAAATCTTAAACCCATTATTATATTTATTTCGGCACTTGCGCTTCAAAGACTTCTCGATTTTTGGGTCCCAACAACAGGAGCCATTCAAAATTTTTTTGTGAATCTGTTGCACAACGGTTACCTTTATGGATTTCAAGCAACTGAACAACCGTACAACAGCTAATAAGTGAACGACCCAAATGGGGCCATATTCAAAGCAGCTGGAACAGAGCAGCTAATGCTGCTCGCATTGTTCTAGACTGCTCGCAGTCGGAACAATTAGAGTCGAATTCCTGCATAATGACAGTTTTTCATGCATGGCAGAACCCGTATAAGAAGCTTGAGTATTTAGAGGGTAAGTGGGGCGCAGAGCTGCCCTTAAGAAGACACATTTGGCCCCGACGGCAACTAGCTGTCGATCAACAAAGTCAGAAAGGTACTATTCGCCTGAAGCTAAGCACGTATTTAGTCATAAAAGGGATAAAATGCGAAGATCAATAGGTGGAGGAAACATCTCCTTGCAACGTCTGCAGACGATAAATGCAATAGAAGATTTTCCTTTTGTTGACGGATGTTGAAGAAGAGCCTTTGCAGAAACTGAATACGAAATTCTGAATTTCAGGAATCGCATCTCGCACATAGCAAAAGAACGAGAAAGGACGCAAATCCTTGCCATCAAATCCGCTAAATAAAAATAGAAAGGTACAGAATAGTTGGAAATCAACCGTTAAACTTTTCGGGTTTAGCGTTCGCCGTTTGATCATTTTCAGGTAGAAAACGAGATCTTCATTGCAAAGATTTGTTTGAGGCTCACTGCAATGCCGAAACGACTTTTTTGTTTCATAATGAATCTTTAGTACAATATGAGGAAGATGTAAAGGAAAAGAATGAGAAAAAACTTTCTTGTTGTGACCCAACCGTGCTGCAGATTGTTGCCACTTCGCTTGTTATCTTTCTCGAGCAAAATATGTTTTGCTCTGTCAAAATATCGGTTTTCGAGGTCGAAACATTTTCGATAACAATTCGCTTAAACACATGGTTCTCAAAAAAACAAAACTCGCAATCACTAGTATTTATTCCTTCAATCATTCAAAACATATACCGGCAAGATGCGTCAGAAAAAAAATCAACTACATAATACGGTTTGAAGTCTTGGCAATAACAGTATTCATTAGAAGAAGAAAATAGCAGAAGATGGTAGCGTGCCATCATTCTAAAATTATGTAAGCATATTCCTCCACTTTGAGCGTTACTCCAGAAACTCATGCGGTGAGAAAGCAATTAATAAACTTTTTTATTCATTTTGTTTATTTTTTTACGTCTTTGGATGGCCCCGTGCGTCATTCACATTTTCAAAGTGTCAACGGAGAAATTTATTTGCGTAATAGAATTGAAGACTGAATGTTCCCTTTCTATTTCCAGAAAATACTCTAATAAATGGAAACAACGGAACACGTCCGTGTTGTAATCAGAGAAGACTACCTATGACATCATTATGGTTTTTCAGTCTTTTCTCTATGTAAATATTAATTGACGTAGTTAGACTCTGTCATCGCACACTTTTTGTTATCATACACTTTTTGGGCGCTTTTCCGTTATCCGGACCCATTTTTCTAAAAAGAACATATCGCCTCTTCTCTCGTGCAAAAATTGGTAAACATTTTACAAAATGAAGAGACAACATCCTACCAATTGTCAAAAAACTGACATGTTATCTAAATGTTGACAGATTCCAACAAGAGTTTGCTTAGCCTTCTTAACGATGTAATTTCAATCTATTGCATTTTTTTGATCAGATAATGACCCAATTTTCAGTAAAAAGTTTTAAAATAAACTTTAACATTCTAAAATAACATTCTGTGTTCAATAAATAGACTGGCTAAATTCGCATGGCAAAACATATATCTATCTAATATATAAAGAAACGTAAGCCCAATCCAAAAATATGCAAATAGCGGGAAACCGCGTGGCGGTGTAGCGAACGCTCTTGCAAATAGCACCTTTAGATTACTGGTTCACTAGTGAAGAGGAAGATTTTCTAAATTGCTGCTGAAGGCTGCCAAGATATTTCAGTGAACGGTCAAAGCTGTTTTGCTTAAAAGAGCGCTAAATAGTTTTTGAGCCATTTCAAACGCTCTCGTACCTCGCCGGAGTTAATTCTGAAAACATGTAAAAGTGGGCCTGAACGTGTTAATTTTTAGCTTGACACGTGGCAGAGAGATAGTCCTATGAGATCTACGAAAAGAATGTTTCTACTCTATAGCAGCTACTGAGAACATTTAAAAAAAAGGCCCGGAAAACGGAAAACTACCCTTTTTTGAAAGAAAAACTCACATTTATCATATTGTCGCACATATTTCTTGAACAGATTTAAAGTAGTAGTTTACGTAAAGGGAGTCAATTATTCGCTTGACATCCTCGATGTTGTAAACATGTCCTTCGGGAACGTTTTGCCCGGACCGGTCTACTGCTTGTACTTGCACATTAGTTGTTTACGTCATTCTGATGTCTTTACTGGTTTTTTTCTATGGTGGGGAAGCGAAAGAAAAATAAAAAGCAAAATAAAATCCGTAAATTCTCCAAGAACCTGATATTGTGTTTTATGCGGATTCCAAGAGAATTCTAATCCGTACCTTTTCATTTGTGCAAAAACCGCGAAACTTTAAGCTCAAACACAGCCCTTAGAAAAGCGTACTCCCATTGAATGAGAGATAGCCGTAACCACTTTACCTGAAGCTTTTTTACTATAATTGCCGATTTAATGAGAGTTCAAGTATTCAGAAAAAATACTTTGCTCAAATGCTGATCATTTGCCTTTGCTGCTCTCAATTATAGCGTAAGTCCAAAAATCCTCAAAGTGCTCATGCTCTTCATGAAAAAGTATAGATGATGTGAGGTGAATTAGAAGAGTTTAAAAACCGCAAAAATTCGCACTCTTATGCAATGACATTAGCAAAAAGAAGAAATGGTTCTGCAATTACACTCCACGTCAATTCTAGACTTTTTAATGGATCTTCTAGCAAAACGTGAGCTCATTGTGGATAGTAAGAAGTAAGCACATTATATTTGGATTTTAAATCGAACAAAAAACAAAGGCCAAGGACACCATCATCCAAACAGGACTTCTAAATAACTCAAAAACTTTGCTGAGGTTAGACGTATGATCTCAGTGCAAGATATTATTTTTATGGCTATTTCCATGGTATGATTGAATTTTGATTAGACAGCTCTCCAAGGCAAATTTAGGAAGGAAGTTACTGCACTGGGAGTTACTTGTCGAGTTTGAAGATCTTGCAATCCATCTACGCAAAGTTCGGTTTTTAGTGACATAAAATCCTTTGATGGAACTTAACATTATAACTTTACCGTAAGCGGAGGTTCGTCAAATTTGTAACGCGATCCGCACATTTCGTACCGCTCATCCACTTCCCAAACCTATACAAATACCAATCGGATGTAGTTTGTTTGAACTTCTTAGCTCTTAGATTTATGCTAACTGGCTAGTTTGGACGAATTACCGTAAAAAAGCAACTAATATTCTTACTTCTAAAAACAAGACCTATAATTGGAGGTTGCGAAAGCTGTGAAAAAGGGTTCAACAATCAAACTGGTACATATTTGGGCAAAACCGCTGCAATTTGAAATGATGTAGGAAAAAGTGCTATATGAGTGTAGAACACAAAGCTCTTTCAGAAATAGCCGCCGTTTAAGAATTGAGCCGTCCGGCGATAATTTAATTGCCTATGCAGCGGAGGTTCGTCAAATTTGTAACGCGATCCATCGCACATTTCGTACCGCCCATCCACTTCCCAAACCTATACAAAAACCAATCAGATGTGGTTTGTTTGAACTTCTTAGCTTTTAGCTTCTTAGCTCTCTGACTGGCTAGTTTGGACGAATTAGGACAACTTAAGAGACGTAAGGAAACAAGTTTATTGCACTCATTTGTTAGTATTGCGCCTGAACATGGCACGTAATTCTGAGAAACCCTTGGTAAGAGCGGTTTTCACGATCGTCGACCGCCTTATGCGTTGCGGTCCCCACTGAAGGTCTCTTCTTGGCGGCAACGATGGACTTCTTCTAAGTTCTTGAATCCTTCGACGAGTTTCTACACTTGGGATAGTGTGACGATCCTGAGGAGCGAGGCCTTTTGCCGGAGAGGTTTGCGTCCTGAATACGGAAGATTAAGGTGAGCACTCGACGGTAGTAAGAATTTTGTTCAAGAATTTTGCTACGCAAAATCTGCAGGCTATGTGCATTTTAAACTACTAAAAATGAATTAACATGTAAATTATTTCTCGAAACAACATAGTAAAAACTAGGCAATCGTATAGTTTATCGTATATCAATTGTATAGTTCATTTATAAAATCGTGACGACGGATTTTACAGCGGACTTTGCGCCCACAGGAGCATAAAAGGCTCATACAGGAAGATTTCACCTCAACGTTCAGCTCTGTCACTTCCAAGGTCTAAATAATATCAACGTAAGCAAAAAACCATTAGAGATACGAACACCAAGAAAATGCCATTTTCGGAAGTGGCGTGCGTGTCGCGCGCGGTCGCGTATCGTCACGATTTTTCAAATGCCCTATAGCTTTCTCTGCTATCGATTCCATTCATATTCGATAGTATAGGGTATTCAAGAAGTTGAAATGATTGCGTTACCGCGCGCCACACGCACGCACTTCTAGCAACTGCATTTGCTCGGTTTCCATCTCTACTTCGAACAGTTTCTTTGCTTGCATGTGATAGTATTGACCCTGGAAGTGATTGAGCTGAGCGTTGAGGTTTTTATGGATGTTCTAGGCTCATATGTGCGCAAAGACTGCGGTCAAACCCGTCGTACGATTTTAAGAATGACCTATAGGATGTCTTCCATCTCCACATTGGACCTACAGCATTTATCAGCTGCAGTGTCGGGAACAACATCTCCGCTCCGCTCCCGCGCGGCCTCTTCGCCTGGACTCTGCACCTCTTTCGCGAACATACTCAACAATCATTTTCTCACCACGAGCAAAGGAAAGGTAGAGCCTCACTCGATCAGGTAGGATTAGAGAGCATGTTCGCGAAGGGGTGCAGAGTCCCGCGCTAGAGTGGAGATGCTGGTGCACCGACACCGCGATTGATAAGCCTGTACATACTAAGTGGACAACTGATATCGTAACTTTCCCTTTCTAGATGTGGCGTGCTCATTTTTTGGCATAATGTAGATTGGGAAATGAGCTATAACATTTGCAAATTGTTTGATTTTTCGTAGAAGGGAGAAATCTTACGCATTTCCCGAAAGCTGGTCAACTTAGATGTTTTAGCGTGAAGATAGAAATGTTGCTGCCCAAATCAAGCCGAAACTGTGCAATAGCTGGATGAACCACCAACAATCTGTGCAGGTTCGCTTTGATGTATTGGATTCAGGCTGCAAACGGCTTCGCTTTTGTTGTTGGTCCAGTGAAGTTTCGAATTTGACCAACTTTCGAGATAAGCGCAAATTTCTTCCTTCTCATCGAAAAATCAAACAGTTTGCGCATATTGTTAGTTGAAACAGTCTCTCGCTCACTACTAATCCGCTGTGTCAAAAAAAGTGGCCCACATTTAGGAAGAGATTATTAAACTAGTTGCAAAACTTTTGTGCCAACTTTATAGGAATCTATGCAAGCACATTACCTACGATAAACTGCATCAAATCAGAACTGGATTTTCAATTCTTTTAACCACCTTTAAAAAAGTGGTAACCAAAAAAGTCTTTGTTACGGATTCGAACCTTGCAGTACAATGCTTAGAAGTTGCCATTTTCTGGTTTGGAATAACTATAAACCAGAGAGTTCATAGTTTTGAATCATTTCCACAGTCAGAGAAATCATGTTTACAGACCTATCATTACTTATTATAACGGGCTAAGGATGTTTACGTGACTTTGTGTGTGTGTGTGTCTGTGAGTGTGTCTGTTACGAAATTCGTACAGCATGTTCCAGCCTACCTCCTGGGCTCAAATTTTGCACAGCGCATGCTACCCGCATGAAAGTCCAACACGCAAAAGCACGAGCAGCTTCGTTGAGTGGATCCCTCGGAAACTGCGCGCCAAACGGATCCACTTTGCATTTGGGCCGCATATTTGGGTCCGTAATTCCACTTTTTGCAAAGTAGTGGATGTTTATGCCAAGTAAAAGTGCAAATCATGAACTTAGACCCAAAAAAGTTCTCAAAAGTCCATTACTTTAAAAAGACGGCGCCAGAAAGTATTGGTTGCGTAAATGGTCAATTTGCCAAGGTTTTACCAGACCATTTGACAAGATTTTTGCACAAAGATGTAGCTCATGGTGACTGCTATTCTTACTGCAACTGTCAAGACCATGGAAGTCAAAAACCTTTAGAAATTTGCGTTTGTTCTCCTGCAAAAAGTCTCATCTACACAAAATCACCGATTTCACATAAAAAAGCTTTCGAAATGAGTAATTGTTTACATTTTGTTCGTGATAGTCGGCATTGCTCGGTGAGTTCCAATGCCATCATTATGCGAGAATGAGTAGGGCCTAGATAGTCGAGCCAGTGCGAGCCTCTGCGAAGCAGAGGTGACGCACTGGTAACCTATAATTTGTACTTTGTTCTTCACAATTCTGCTGCACCGTCGACAAACGCTACTGTTCACTGAACATTTAAGCAGGGAGGTCACCCCTTCACTGTGCTGGATAGACTACTTGGCCGTGTCTATAGTTCATTTATCAAATCGTGACGACGGACTTCACTGCAGAATTTGCACCCACATGAGCATAAAACGCTCATACATGAAGGCATTGCATCAACATTCAGCTCAGTTACTTCCAATGTCTGAATATTATCACACGTAAGCGAAAAAAAACCTTTCGACTAGAGATGAAAACCAAAAAATGCGATTTTCGGGAGTGGCGTGCGTGTCGCCCACAGTCGCGCCATCTCACGATTTCTAAAATATACTTGCATGTAAGCACTCCTTTATTCTATATGACTCTGTTGTTTGCCAGAAATAAGCATTTAGGTTATCCAGGCCAAAACATCCGCCTAAAAGGGCTGAATACTCAGTTCTGGAGTTGGGTCAATTCAAAACACTTTTGCTCCGTGCAGATAGAGTAAGTCTAGCAGCAAAGCTGGCTTTTCATAGCTTTTAGCTATTCATTTTTGAATTTACATGTCTTTTCTTTTAAAAAGCTTGGTGCAGCAAGTCAGCCCATAGTTAGTTCGATGCCTAAAAACCACATTTTGAAAGCCAATAAAGCTTGAGATACCGCAAAGTTAGATACCACTGATTGCGTTCGCAAAGGTAGAAAGTTTAGAAATCCAAGCGCAGACACCTGTTATTCCTTTATTACGAAATGTCAGTGCATTTCAAAAAAATCTTTTTTGCAAAATCGCTGACGGGAGCCCATGACAATCCAGCAACCGTAAACATGCATTTGAGACGACCTCTTTGCTTTTACTACCTTAAATATCCAGCTTAAAATTCGCCACCCTCGTGCCGGGCCTGTGCGATATCCCAATCGTCTAGCCCTCTAATTCTGCATACACTCGCCAAAATTGCAGACAGTGCCCAAAAGCTGTTCAAATGACAACCTTCAAGTTAACAAGCAAAAGGCGACTGAACAAACGAGTGAATCATGATCAAATATGGCAGGGCTGTTTGGTAACATTAGAGATATATCGCTCCTTGAAAATTTCAACATACAAGTGAGACTTCCGCAAACATGCAAAGCATACGCATGAACTCAACAAGCACCCTAGAACTAAAAATTATAAGCCGCTTACATTAGCTGACTACAAGAAAGGATACGAAGTCTCAGAATCTCGTCATTCAATGTTTTTAAATAGAGATCCCGAATAAAGAGACATTGGCTAACCATAACACTGTATAACGATAATGGTGAGCAAAGGACGTTTATTTACCGTAGGCGAAACTGAAACAGGTTCCGCGATGAGCTGGACAGTTCAATGCTAGCAGCTACAAATCTGAGCTAAAAGCCAGATTAAAACAGTTACCCAAATTTCAGGTGTATAAGCTGCAGGGATTCTTTTCTGAAGTCAACCAGCCCATAAGCAAAAAACACCACGACCAAAGGATTAAAAGCAGGGACAAGAGCGAAGTGTGCCAGCCACACCTGGAGAATCGTAAAGGGGTCGGGGGGGGGGGGGGCGTTATCGAGGTGATAGTGATGTTAGCCGATGTCAGTCAACAATATCTGATAGGCCAATTGTGTAAGATACTAGCTCTGGGTGTGTTTTGGCCTACCGTAGTACATGTCCAGTAGGCACAATAAGAGGTTTTAAAGGCATAAGAGGATCACTTTTTTTTTAATTAGCCAAATAATCCCTTGGGCCAAGTTTCAGCGACTTTTGAGGATTTCAAGTGTTGGGACGCTCAAGTGAGATGGTCATTTTCGAGCTTGTTAACTTTGTTTCAAAGATCAACTAATTCTTTTTGCACTCAATGCAAAGTACTACCACTTCTTTGCTCACATTAGGTGTTCCACTTCAACTAACCTCCGAACTCTGAATTAAGAGCAAACCAATGTCTTGTTCGTCTCACTGTTGGCTCTCAATATCTCAGATTAGAGAAGGCCAATCAGGCTCAAATCGCTTTTGTGGAAGTTACAAAGACTAGGTTATCAAACATACTTATTCTTGCGCCCTCCTTCGCGATTCACGTAGTTGCCTAGACTTAGGATATTACCATAAACCACTTTTTTCACAGTATTTTCCACTTGCATAGCTAAGGAAAAACGGCTATATCTTTCCTTGGGAGAAACAATTTTTTATAACATTCCTGCCATGTGGAGAAGAAAGTTTAGCAGTAGCAGCCATTCAAAGACAGATTTGGATTCTTTGGAGGTAAGTTAATGGGGCGTGGTACAACCCCTAAAAAGGGCTGGCAGCCACATCTTTCTGGTGTTGTGCCACACCCCATTCTTACTTCCAGAAGGAATTTTAGCGAACATAATATAAAGATTTTGATAGCCTGAGTGTGTTGAAGTTTTCATAGGGGTGTTTGAGCCTGATTTATCTTCGTCACTGTGAATGAAAGCTGGTGAAACGCTGCCATAAAAAAAGGGATTTTTTTGACAAGGTTTTGGCCTGCTTTAATTCCATAATTTGATGGTTATTTGAAAAAAGGGTACGAGGTTTTGGCCTGCTTTAATTCCATAATTTGATGGTTATTTGAAGCAGTATTCGTAGTATGGGTCAATAGAGAGTATTTCTTTGTATTGAGTACAAAACTAGTGAGCTAATACGCTTTTAAAAACTAGTTAGTCATGTTTGAAAATGACCACTTCACTAGGGTGGTCCAATATTGGGAACCCTCATTTGCTAAAACTTGGCCCATGGAGGTCCTTTGACAGAATAATTACGAAGTGACTAATTATGCATGTTAGAGCCTTGCTCATGCCTACGGAAGGCAAACAATAATGCTAGGGGGGGGGAGTATTAAGACGGAAGATGGGAGGGGTGGGGGGATCGTATCCGGCGCTTGTGTGGCACACCTCTTGCTCGACCCTGATTATAAGCCCCACCCTGATGCGCATTGCCTTGAAGGATCATGCGGCATGAGAACCGCTTTCCAAAACGTGAAGCCGCTGAGCAGCTCGCTCAAATCAAAAAGGTGCGACTTATACATCTAAAAATAGGGTAATTGAAACAAATCTGCCATGCGCTTTTTCCACTACATCAGGTCGTTTTGTAAACCTGCAGAGTTTTCATGAATTGAAACGACAAAGTTTTTTTGTGCAATCCATTCACTGAAATATGTGAAGGGCAATCATACAATCGTGACGATGGCGCGACCGCGCTCGCCGCGTATGCATTTTCAACAATTACGATATCAGTTAGATACTGGATGTGACTAAACAAAGCAGTAAGAAATTTTTTCCGGCAGTCATATCCGTCGTCAAATTTTGAATGCCCTACACGTTATTGCGCACATCCATCCCACTTCGTCGTCCAGTTCTTAATTCCGTCTCACATCTCGATGGTTTGTTCCCTAAAACGCCTAACCAAAGCGGTCATCTTCCTCGAAACAAGCACCGATATGGTTTACAGAAGAGAGGACTGAGTGATTAGGTGAGGCGAAGTCTGAAAATGCACTAAATGCTAAGTAGCTTCCAGTCAAGTTTTGCAGGATAGTTTCGTTTGCCATATAGGATAATGCTATTTTTATTAGGCCTTTTCCGAGGTAGGGATTGTTTGAACGGTGCAAGCTGCGTACGGTAAGGTCAACCTTTGTTATTGTCCAACGATTTTCCGTACAACGTCGTGTCCGTCCCACCAAAAGTTTGTTTGAGAAACATGCTCTTTAACCTTTGTTTTCCGAAGCAATTCACTCATTTTTGCCTCATGACGTATAAAAGCCATCTTCCATAATTGTTTGAGAACTATGCAAAAACGTTTCCTTTTATAAGCAAAAATAAGCAGGTGCAGAGAATGCTTCTTTGTGCTTTTGAGAATCTTATAATTGGGAGCTGAGAAATTGATGTAGATCAGCTTTTTATCAAAATTAACAAGTGGATTTTGAAGAGCATGATTAGCTCTTGCCAATGCAACTGCTTCTCTACGAAATGTTAGAATGGAAATTCTACGAACTTATGAAACGACCTACTAGTAGTAGGGATTATAGAGCAAATTCAAGCAAAAAAAAACAAAAACATTAATGATAGAAGATGATAACAATTAAAATGCAAGCTGCAAGCAATTAATGAGAGCTTGGAACGCTGACCCCAAATCTGCCTTTACTATCTGCAAAGAGCCATCGGAAAGGAAGTTATGAGCATTTTTTGAGGCGAGAAAATGAACTAATGGCCGGGATAAAATTTATAATTGCAGCCTCTCTAGATCTCAAATAAAGCAGCGACAATTATCAGGATACTTCGTACAATAAACTTCTTTTGCCTAGTACCCTAATTTCCGGGGTATAAGGCGCAGTAGCTTTAACCGCGCGCGAACTGATTATGATGACGCTCGCGATGCGCGGCACCGCAGCAGCCTCTTTCAACCGGCAGTAGCTTTTTGTTTCGTTCTTTGCTGTTTTCCTCTCAATAGTGATTTTCTCAGAACAAAACTCTACCTTCGCTTTTATTCTTCAAAAATGACAAAAATAAAACACAGCGCCTTTAAAATACCAGTAGTATCATTGTAAAGAAAGGCACAGTTTCAGTACCGGAGCAATACTGGAAACAAAGGAAAGCACAAGTGGTGAGCACCGGTAACATTGGAAACAAAGAAAGAATCATCTAAGCACCAAAAACACCACTGAGAACACCTTGCTCTCATCTGTAGAAACGATATCAAAGTATACATACATTCTGAGAAGAGCAAAAAAGTTTCTGAGAAGAGTAAAAAAGTATCTGAAGGCATGATGTATAGGCAGCAAAGAATACCCGCAGCACACTGAGTCTTCAGCGTTCTAGATTTAGAAAGCAACCATTTAAAAAGCGTTTTCGCGCTATTGTTCGCTGCGGCGGGTGCGCCTTATATCCCGGAAATTAGGGTATATCAGTACATCCTATCTCGCCATTTGACGTCTAGAGAGGCTGTAACGATTGATTATAGCCTTGCCATTACTTCATTTTTTGTCTCAAGAATGCTCATGACTTCTTTTTCAAAGGGGCTCTGCAGATATGAAAGTATGGGATCAGCGATCCAAGCTCTCACTACCGGTATGCAGCTAGTGGTGGTAGGCCATTTCGACTTCGTGACCCCCCCCCCCTTGTAAACAAATCTTAATAAAAAGAGGCTGCAATGAGGCAATAATCAAGTTCTAAATGAAGTACTCGAAAGGTAAAAATTGCTAACAGGAACATCCAGAAACCCTTTAAATTTGCAATTACCATGTTTTACTTTTGCTGAAAAAGTAGCCATTCAGATATCGTAAATACTTTAGTTTTTTTTTACAATGAAACGCCTAGCTTTGTCTTTCTCATCGCACTGATCAAGCAATAAAAAACGGAAAGAGATGGATTTTATTCACTTGATGACTCATTCATGGATATCAGAGATATCCTGTAAATAGATCAATTCACTTACCCATACGGTCCTGCACCACATCGCGGCATCTTGTCCATGATATGGCCGGTATTCCAGCACAACTTGGAGTTGGGGTTTGTGACATACGCCATCCAGGCCACGCAAATCTGGGAAGGAACGTTCAAATAGAGAACAAAGAAGATGGATGAATGGAGAGGTAGTTGTTTAACTTAGCAAAGCTGTGTATATAAATGACAGTCATATGAAATACTGTTCGCTTCAGCTTTGTTTGGAAAATCGATTCGCAGAATATCAACCTGGGCTACCCTAACAGTTCAGTACTTAATGTTCACAAAATTAACGATGAAATCTTCGGTCATGATAAGCAGAGAATGTAGTTCTCTTCTGATGGAAGTAATATTGAAATGACATAGTATTGAAATAGAATAGTATTAAATGATGTTCAAGCTTCAGAACTAACACTTGAATTTAAACCAACCTCGTCATTGTCACATAATCGTACGTAAGTTGCTAATTTATCGGTATCCTCAGACGACAGGAAAGACTTCCGTACGCAATTCAACAATCGTAAACATTGTTGGCTGTAAATGTATAAAACCACTAGTGCACAAGTTGAAAATATGAACGAATAAATCAATGAGCTTGTGGTTAGAACTGTTTGTTATGTGTGATCAACTCTTCCGCAAGTCCATCAGAGAAAAATGAATAGGAGAATAAAGCTAGACCTTATATTTTGGACCAATTTTGTACGTAAGTTTATGACACAAAGTGGTTCTCCCCTTTTCAGCCCTGCACGTCTTCACTTCCAAAAAACCTCAGACCACATCTTGGATTTTGTAAAAGGCACAACTGCAATCTGTAGGTTTTCATTAATGTATTAGTTAGCAGCAGTCAGTGTGCATATCCATCGAAAAAAATTTGCCGCCTGACATATTCGGAAACATGGAAACCTTGAGCACAGTAGTCTAATCTTGAGGTAGTGCCATCGGTGAAATGGCAAAAATATCGGGAAAAACTATAAAAGAGCTACCGACCATTTAAAATTTGAAAAGTTTCACGACCTCTTGCTTGTTGCAGGAGTCTTGGCCTTTTTTCGGCAATTACCTCTTGTGCATCAGTATGCACAGATGCCCTCTGCGAACAAAACTTCGTTCTGTGGTTTATTTTAACGGTAAAAAAATTAGAATTTGTCAAAGACATTACACAAAGATTAAAAAAATACAGGGTGTCCAAAAATGTGTACACTGTTCGATCGTTAATAACTCTCTTGCTTTCGTGTCTTTCGCCAAGCTTAAGCTTCCATTCTGTAGAGTGAGGTTGAACTTAGATTTACAGCATGAAGCGAATCATCAATCTCTCTTCATTACTGTAGGATTATGATATGAACTTTCAGCATACAGCGCCACTGTAATATAGGCTTTTTGATGTTAAAAATTCCAAAAAACCCGGAAACTGGTTTAGGAATGTTTTAGCGTACTGATCTTACTACACAACTTTTCACCAGTTTTTCGAACCTTTTCAAAGGTGTAATCACGCTTCTGACGAACATTGGAAAAACATTTGTTACTCTAAACCTGAAATAGCTTATGAAAGAAGCATTACAGTGAAGTGCAACTTCCATATTCAGAATCAGCGACGTTTAATAGTCCAGTGCAAGTGTTTCTGGCTTGTTTGGTTTTCCTTCTAAAGCAAAAATCGCCTTTAGCTTCCTGAAATCTTTACCGAAGCTCTTACCGTAATCTTACTGTAATGGAGAGTGGTTGATGGTTTGCACCATACTGTAAACCTGAGTTGAACCTCACTCTACTGAAGGGTATCTCAAGTTTTGCGAAAGACAAGAAAGCAAGAGAGTTATTAACGACCAAACAGTGTGCACATCTTTTTGTGACACCCAACACATATTTGCGCAAGACTTCAAAGGAGCAAATGGGTTAGAAACGAGATTATCTCGAAGAAGGTGAAGATCCTTTCGAAGGGGGTGGTGCAGGAGAAACCAGAGGGCTGCCGCCTGCTCGCGCCCGCCTGCTCGCGCTCTTAATTATCCGCAGGAGATAATTAAGAGCGCGAGCACTGTGGAGAATATTGTGGCATGGATCTACAAAAACTTGGCAAGAACATCTTTAGGAACAAATCTTCATAACTTTGCTTGGAGATGACTTCGAAAAATTTGAAAGACAGTGTAATGCAAAGTGGGAGGCGCATTCACTGGGCCTGTAAATGAAAATTTGGAATTGTAGTGGTAAGAAAATTAACTTCTTTATGGAAATTTTTTGTTTTATGAGTGTTGAAGTTCCAAATTGTTGAAGAGGGATTTTCATTCAAACTTCATCCTTTTTTCTTTTAGATAAAGAAATAGTTTGCCTTTTGAGCCAATGAACCAAAGCAATCAAAATTTTATAAAAACACATCTGGAGACTTGTGTCAAAATGCAATATACATTTTGTCTCATAACTTCAAACCTATTCTAATTATAAGTTTTGGCACGGAAACTTCGAATCCAGAAATTTCACTAAAAAATTCATTTAAAATCTCTCACAACACTGCACTTGAAATTCATCAGCTTTTAATGGTGACTTTAGAGACTTTTTGGTGAAAATAGAACTCGAGTAGCGAGACAGAGTTGTTTATCTTCCCGGTAGGCGTATTACTAAAAAATGCGCACTTCAGTACTGTTTCCAAATCTTTCCTTCGTATCCTTAACACGTTGACGACGAGCTGTTTTTTCGACGTCTGTCCCTGTGGACGAACCGTTTCCGGGCATTTTCACGGCCGGCTGCGTGTATGTATGCATGCATCTATGCGTGAGGTACAAAAATGCGGTGGACGGGGTAGCTCCGCCCACTTTTGGCAAGCCCCGCCCACTTTTCAAAAATGCTGGAAAGTGCTCAAAATCAATGAATTTGTGCAATTCCTGGCATTTTCGAAAAGTGGGCGGGGCTTGCCACTTAGGGGGTGGGGCCTGCACAACGGGGGGGCGGGGTCAAAATCGAGATAATTTAAGGTTTCCCAGTCATCTACGAGCTTTTCTATGCGATTTGAGAACGAAAAAGTTTTTTGTAGAGGGTAACAGAGTGGGCGGAGTTTGCCAAAAGAGGGCCGGGGCCAACACGAAAAACTTCTGAGCCCAATTGATTATGCGTAACAAATTGGAACCATTGTGCACATTAGAAGTGGTGTTTAGGGTGTCGCGCATCATTGCGCGACATCGTCCACAGGGACAGACTGCCTGTCGCGCACCATTGCGCAACACTGTCGTCAACATGTTAACACATTGACGACCACGCAGATTTTTAGTTGTCTGCCTTCTGGGGCCAAAGCCTTTTACGAACCAGCCCACGTTTTCCAACTATAATCACGCATACTGCCATCTACAGTACGCCTACAGTAAATCTGAAAGGCTGGCAAAAAAGGTAGAGGTCATCCCTAGATTCAGTGCAAAAGGAAGCTCTAGTGAGTTTATCCCAGGATAGTAGCCATTTTAACAGAATTCAAGCCTTGACACACATGGTGTGTGTCAAGCGGTCGTCAATGTGTTAGAGGTTAATTTCAAGAAGAGCTGTAAGGGTTTTTTTCTAATGAGTATCCTCGCAAAGTTTTCCTGGATCCTTGCCAAAATCTTCTCCACAGCGCTGCTTGGGCTCCTAGTTGTCTCCTACGGCTACAGGCGGCAGGGCTTTGGTTCCTCCTGCACCGCATCCCTTTCGAAGAGCAGTTATGACTGATGATTTGGTAAGTTGGTGAATGGGTCATAGATCGATGGAACCGCACAGCGGTTTCGAAGTGTGAGACTAGAGCGCGCATTGCCACAGTCATGATCGCAAAGTCCCAAAACGACTCTGCTCTCAATCTTGGGAAGGAGAGGGAAGAGGAAGAAGAGGGGAGGGGAGCGGCATAGCGTTCCCACGCTCCAATTCGGATCTAACGGGCCTCATGAAAACCTAATTTTTGACGTTTCCGCGCTCTGCAAGCTGCACAGTTAGAGCTAACGCGACAGATATGCTCCATACGTGGAGAACCTTTGAATTCAGGTTTTATCGGGACGCTGCCTTTATAAACAGTAGCTCGACAAGACCTCGACACTAATTTGTCCCTTTGCTGAGGTAATTGCTGAGCCCGAAAATCACCTCAGAAAGAGTAAAATTGTGAAAACCAGTATTTTCCAAGGGCTTTATTGTCAATTTGGACGAGTGGAACAGTTCCCAAAAAATTCGAAGAGCAGAGTCGTCGAGAATTCCATGGGGAAAGAAAATGCGACCTCATGCGATCTCGAGCAACAATGGCCTGAGGCACGGCCTTGTGGGCAATTTCATGGCAGGGCAACACCCCGTGCGCTCGATTCTTAAAGGCAGTGTCTCATCAAAATTTGGTCGCCGAGATTTTTGCACATTGCAACCTATTCGTCCCTGTCTAAAACTCAATACAGGGCCAAAATCGCATGAAATGCACGTAAACCTTTTTTGACGACCCGTGGAAGCAACGCGGACGAGTTGTGCCTTCTCAGGCTAGCCTTCGCCACAATGGCAGCAACACCGTGGGGGGGGGGAACGCCAAGTGGAAAGACATGTTGAAACGCGTAAAGGGGGAGCCGGGAGCGTCGGCTGCGCGGGCCAGATTGCGTTTTGCGGGCCACCTTGAGAAGGGTCCGGATCGAGTGTACTTGGAGCGTTCGCCTGGGGGTCATCAAGCAAATTATGCGGAGACCCGCCCTAGCCCAATTTTGGTGAGGCAAAAACTCGAATTTTAGAAAATCCATTAACTGGGGGTTATCCGCAACTCTGAATCCGAAAATCCACATTAGAGGGCGCGAAACGGCGAGAAAATGCGTTTTCCAAAGCCTTATCTAAAATTTGGCGGTCCCCGCCAAGGCACGCGGAGGCGCTGCGAGACCCTACGATTTTGACTGTGGTGCCATACGTGCTCTGCTGCATAGCAGGAGTTCATACAGCTCGAAAGACCACCCCCAAGCGTAAGTTTTCCCCATTCCCGATCGTATTTCTTGCTAGGTCGAACGTTATAACCTCGTGATGATTTGTTTTTTGGGGGGGGGCACTTTCGCGTTGCACTGAAATCCCAAAACCCCACCTTGTCGGACACTCCCTTTAAAGGCAGTGTCCCGGCAGATTCGGGTCCTGGGGGATATACGTGTGGTGGGGTTCCTGATCACCCCGTCGACCTCCAGGCGCACTCCGGCTGGGTGATGTTTCCCCTGGGCCGAGAAAATGGCCCTTGAATCGGCGCGCGCAACCCCAACTGGCGCGCGCTTGGACGGCCTACCCCGCCTGTTCGGAGCGGGACCCCAAGAGCGCTCTCCCCCATGATGCATGCTATCCAAAGCAAGAATTACAGGCGGCAGGATCTTCGTGTGAGGACCTCCCCCGACTTCCCATTAAAAATCTCGTCCAAGCTGCTTTTCTGGAAGGAAAACGGCCCAAAATCGGCCTTTTCAGCCCGTTCAAAGCTCAAATTCGGATTCTACGTGGCGAAAAGGCCTAAAACATGTAGAAAGGTGGAGGTGCAAAATCTGCCGGGACACTGCCTTTAAGGGCCGGGCATACATCATGCGATTTCATCGCCCCGCAATTCTCACGACAAGACAACTTGTATATTCATTGCATGCTGATCATCTTGCATTTTAGTTGTGAGTTTGTCGCGACCATTCGTGTCGAGAAACTATCACAACCAAAATGATCAGCATGCTTTGGAGTCATAACTGTTGTCTTGTTAAGAGAGTCGCGAGGCGATGAAATCGCGTGATGTATGCCCTGTTCTTTAGTCTGTTTTTAGATATGGGGTGCGCAACCCATCAAATCAGAATTTGGAGATGTTCTGTTTTGCCGCTGCCTTTGAGTAAATTCGGAATGCGTGTGATAGATCAAGCGTAATCTTTGGAGCAATGCTGGTTCAAGGCAGCTATGATTTCTTTTCTGGAGCAGACTTGTACTGTGCTTCAGCTTTTCACCTTGGAAGTGAGCAAGGTATGTCGGCGATACTGCGAACTGTTTCACAAATTCTTTATGTTAGCTAATTTTTTCAAAGCAGCACTGACTGTGCCGTCAGCGGCTTTCCAAACTCGTGCTAATGTATTAAAGTAGTAGTTTTTAATCTTTAGTTTTATATGTAGTTATTATGCGTCAAACTCTTAATTCGAGCTTATGACGCATTCAAGGCTATAAAGTTTTTTAAACTGTTCTAATCGATTTCCGTCTAACACTATGGCATGAATGTTTCCTCCATGAAATTTCCCACGCAGCTTATGTTAACCGCATCAGTATCAAACTTCAATTTAAAAATGGCCATTCAACGCTGTTCTTCGTCCTTTTGTCACTACTCATTTGAATTTATACGCCTACTTCCCACCTTTCGACTGAGATTCAAGCCAATCACATCTAGTTCTTTATCTTTTGCGATAGTATGTATTATGGAAATATTTCTGATGCGGCAGTTCGCTTATTTCTTAGCAGTATATACTGAGTTGTTTATGAACGCAATATTCTGGCGAGCAGTTGTAACACTCATTGAATAAAAACTTATCTTTGTCTTCAGTTGTTGTGTCCTTTTTTTGTTATGTTTGTTAAAAAGAAGTAGCTGTGTAAAATGACTGATAGAAGATTGACATTTTTGTGTTTGCTATGTATTGCTCAAACTCTCGAACCAAAGAACTTAATCTTGACTTGTGATTTGTAGCCATTGGCTATTTTGTTTTGTTGTTAAACTTACAGTGTTTCAGAAAATGCTCTCTTTGGCAATGCAAACGTCTTGGATGCGCAGTTCACAGGAACTACCAATCATTTTTATTGCTAGGATTATGATAGAGCAATCAAGAGTGGAGCCAACAAGAGCCAAAATTTGCACGGATAAGATAGAAAGGGAGAAACTGTGAGACCAACTTAGTTGAGGTTACTCAATCAAGCGATGGAATTTGCCATAGAATTTTGCTCAAATCACAAATAATATGCCTTAAGAGCGACTCCCCGATGACCATCAAAACATGATCTCATCTTAGCAGTTCAAAAATATGCACAGGTTGATATGTTGGAAACAACTAGTCTCAAAAAATTACCGCGGGTTTCCAAGTGTTTCCGAGATTTTCTGAGTTGGTGGCCATTATGACGTGACGGTTTTACGGTAGGCTTTTCCACCGTAACCCTACGGTATCGGAGATCGGCGATTTGCTTCAAACTGTCAACTCAAACAAGCCAACTTTTTAGCTGTGTTAATATCTTAGAAGTCTTAAGAAACGCTAAAGCAAATTAGTTGAATTTTTGACAAGCTGCACTGCTTTATCGCTTGTAGACAATCTTTAGGACCATCGTACTAATCTTTGGACCACTTTTGCATCATTACCAAGTTGGAAGAGTTTTTGAAACGTAAGACCGAAGATGTGAAACCAACCTACTTGCTTTATGAAAGAAAGACCAGTCGATAGCAAACAGTGCTACATTCCTTTCACTAGATGTGAGGATGTCGCAACTGCAATTCTGCTCATGAAGTCAAATCATGATAACTTAATGCTAGAACTCGAAAGATTTGTGATTCTCAGAAATAGTCAATCTCTAAATCAGTCATATTTGCGGATGATCTCTGGTGATATGTGCTCATAAAGGTATAACAATCCTATAACTCGGTCTCCTACTCCGATAAAACGATCAGACTGCTCACCTCTCTAACAACGGAACTAACATTTCAGGGTCTTCAACACTTTTGCGCAATGTTGATTGAATAGCATCAAACTTCTTACGGATCATGATTGCAAACTAGAAGAAAAATTTGCAAGGACGAAACGGCTTGACAAAAACAGTAATCGATGAACATTTTTGGACGATCTGTCTTGTAATCACAGCTCCTGATCTTTTTGAAGCTATAGTCGCTAACTCAAAACTTTAATCTAATAAGAGAATTGAAGTGTTGAGCTGGCTACTGCTCCGTACTTTTGAAGATGATGTTGCACTTGCAAAATTCAATAGGAAGAGATTCGTAGAAAGAGTCCTGATTTTTTTCCTATTTATAATAATTGTAGCTTACTCCTCAAAGAGTGGTATGAAAATGAAGAATTGCTTAACACATTGACGACCGCTTGACACACATGTTGTGTCAAGCAATAACTACCGCGTGGGACCGCTTGGCACACCATCTGTGTCAAGAATTGAATTTAGTTAGAATGACTACTATATGGGATGAAGTCACTACACGAGCTTTTTTTTTCACTGAATCAAGATGACCTTCATCTTTTTTGTCAGCTTTTCAGAACAATTGTAGGTGTAGTGTAGAAGGAAGTATGCGTAATTATAGTTGAAAAATGTCTGGTCCGTAAAAGGCCTTGGTCCCAGAAGGCCGACAACTAAAAATTGCATGGTCATCAATGTGTTAATTGACCATGAAAACCAAGGGTTGCAGATTTTCGATTTGATGAGGGTTCATGGGTTAAATTGCAATGACAGTATTATCATTTGAGAAAGGATGAAAGGATATATGTAATAAAGCTTTTTGTTGTGCAGGATGTAGCGCTTGTTTACAAAATCGAAATTACTTTCGAAAACAGGGAACGAAAACAATGATGCAATGATGTGATACTTCATCGAAAACGGAAATTTGTTAACTCGAGGTCCATATTTATCACACAGTTTTTAAGGAACGATAAATGACAAAAGCCACTTAAGCATCTCAAGCATGTGACCGAAACTGAACTGGCGACAACAACTACCGGTTTCCCAGTGATTCATGAATGTTCGACAATGGCTTTTTTTTGCAATCGATGCCAACAGTGTATGTGAGAAAATGCAGTTCTGTATGTGTAAGACATTTCAAAATTAGTATTCTTGTACCTGCCTGCTTATTGGAAGTTGACAGGCGTACGATATTACGTAGCACAGGCAAAGATCACGATCGCTTTGAGCCGCAATGGTCTCTAGGGTCTGCAAAATGTCACAATTTCTAACTTCAACTGAGATAAATTATTCTTACTCGACATATTCGGCTTAGTAGGGTCGAACTTCCTATAATTTGTGCCAGATGTACGACTGCAGCTGTATCACGTAGCGACAAATTCTCTACCACGTGTTCACCTTTCAAGTAATGTCGGACGAAAACAGAAACCGCGAGTGGGGGCAGCTTTGTTGCATCGAACTTGCGGGTTTCGGCCTGAAAGTGGTTATATAAGCCCACCCAGAATCAAATTGACGTTGAAGCATCCACGATCAATATTTTTTTACATAATGCTGAATTTTCAAAGATTGTTAGTTTCTTTCTTTATTATAAGTACAGCCAATGTAAATGCAGATCTACATTTCGGTTTTAAGACCTGGAAGGCGAGTCAGCTGCGTGTAATTCAATGTTCAAATGTAGACAAACCTTTGATGACACAGACCAGTGCCTGTCCACAACGCTGACACATTGTTGAATTACACGCACCTGCTGACTCGCTTTCCACGTCGTGAAAAGGAGATTCCAGCCGCAAAGTACACTTGCATTGATTATTGGCTGTACTGTTGATAAAGGAAGAAGTTAATACCTTGGGGAACTTAGCAGGGAATGGCCAGAATTGACCCAGCCATACCAAACATGCTGTATATCATTGGACTCGCTTTGGAGCGTTTTTCACTATATGTTTATCTGCCAAGCGATTATCTGGGAGTTATGAGCGTTTCGATGTGCGACTTGTCAAGTGTTCTGTGGCCCATGTTCCACGGAATAGGTTTCGAAAGCACTCATTTAGGCTTTTGGTGAATGTGCTTCTTCCTTGTAATCAAAATAACCATAGTCACTGTTAATCTGGCCATCAGGCTGCCTTTCAAGGAATTATAATCGTCGAAAAATTCGAAAACTCGAAAAATTTCTCATAGTTGAACGCTCACAACTCATCCCAGATAGTGGCTTGCCAGATAAAAAACCTGTACTTGAAATCAGCGTTTTAAGACGAGGCCGATGATATACAGCTTGCTTGGAATGGCTGGATCAAATTCTGACCATTTTTTGCTTACAAGGAAATGGTCAGAAGTCGAAGTGGCCAATCCATACAAGCTGCATACCATTGAATGCAGTATAAAATGCTGACTCTAAATCTGTCTTCCTTATCTGCAGAGCGCTTTTGTGGACGAAATTATAAGCCGTTGAAGGCCATCATTTTGCTAAGAAATTGTGCACGTAAAATGTAAACTTGGCCGTACAAAGCCATTCTCGGCTCAGTGTTGGACCAAAACATGCAACTAGGTCAGTTTATATGACCCGTACCTAGATGTGAGCTGAAACAGCAATAATGTGCCTAATTTCGCAACTTTTGTATACGGTTTTTTCGCAGTAAAGCTGCTCATAACTTCGCCTACAAAGGCGCTCTGCAGATAAGGAAGGCAGATTTGAAATCAGCGTTCTATGCTGCATCGAATGGTATATAGCTTGTTTGGATTGGCCACTTCGACTTCTGTCCATTCCCTTGTTAGCATAAAATATAGTCAACACACTATGTCAAGATTCGGAAAGGTCGAGCGTGAGATATGATTTATTTATCTGGTCAAATCAATTTTTTATCAGGAACTCGGAACATCGAACAGAAATACTAGCTTCAAAGAGCATTCTAATGCTAAAATTTCCTATTTCCATTGAAAAGTCTTTCAGGCTATACAAAAAAACGACGCACTTTTACCCCTTATTCTACACTAAATGCACTATGCCACATCCAGCTCCAGAGACTGAATAGAAAGGTGCCCTTAGTTTTACGATTTGTCCACACCAGATTTCTGTGAACTTGGAGAGAAAAGGTTATGTTCTTAACCAATTATGGGCGGTATTGTATACCCTTACTTTATGGTCACAAGCTTCCACAACCACAATCACCAGCTTCCACAATCAGTTACCCCATATCTGTGAATAGCCCTTGCATCGTAGTTTTCGTCGAAAAAAGATGGTGCGTGGCTTAAGCTGCTAGTAGCACAAAAATAATCATTAGCCCATTACTGGAATTGCACTGCATGAACGGCAAAGCAGCCGTTAAGACCTTTCCAGACTATTTGTTTACGCATTCTTCCTTGCTTTACATCCAGCAAACGTTATCTAAAAGTGCAAACACACAAATATTTACTCTAAGAGCTGCTAATAGACGTCAGGAGATTTTCATTTTCTGGAATGGTGCTAAGAAAGTGTGATTCAGTGTAAATACTGAATTTTTCTGAAGTTTGCAGTAGCGAACAATGTATCTCACATTTTCCCTAGAGCCTTACGATGTGGTCACATTGACGCGCAGATTTTGCCCGGCTAAGATAACCGCACCCTTTTTCACTATTCGAGAAACGCTGCTTGACTTATTCAGATGGAATACGTACTGAACGAGTAGAGCTGCATTTTTTGGCCAAAAATGAACGTAGTATGTGATGTTGCCGCAATGCCTTCGGCTCCCAAGCAGATCATGAACAACACATCAAGTTACTCAGCTTTGCCTCCGCCCTTGAAAGAGTCATTCTTGCCTTGTCGCCATCACACTGAGTCACACATCCAGAAAAAGACACTTTTGCATACATCACATCATTCTATAAACATTTAAAGTCTCTCAAAGTCTAAATTTCGAGGTCGACTCTCTAGCATCCGATAACTATGTCATTGCGCATCCCACCACAATGTTCCTACCTTCCCACAGTCGTATTCCCATAGTTGCATTTCACAATTAGAGAATAGTGTTTGGTAGATTTTTTTCGCTTATAATTAATTGGAAATTATGAGTTGCAATTCTAATTTTACAAATAGGTCGTCTTCAAGCTACATGGATTGATTGCATGGACTTGATTGTAGAGTACTGTTTTTAGTCTTGTTATTTTGTTATTTGTCTAGGGCTATTACTAAGGTTTTACTTACAAGGTATTGTATAAAAATCTGAGCGGTTAAAATTCTACTGAAGTCTTGATTTCTACACAATCTTCAAGCACCCGCTCGCAAGAAAAAATTGCAGAAACTTTTAAAATCTATCAGGTTGGGGCCTCTGACTGAGCAAAGCAAGCTCCGCAAGATGACATTCAGAGTGATTTACTTGAAGGCACGTAGATATAAAAACAAATGAAATAAAAAATGTGATTCTAGGATAACGAAAGTGCAATCATGCCTACAAATGTACATTCGCCGTTTTTTTTTTCATGGCTACAAAATGGGAAAAGAATAGAAATTAGTATGAGACAAACTTTGTTGTCTCGCTTTATCGCATATTATGCTGCTATGTACCCTATATTTCAAAGGGATTGGCGGATGGAAGGTCACCGCTTGCGACACAGTCTGCGTCTCTCTCGCGAGCCTACTCTCTGATCAACCCTAGCCGAGACGGCCTCAAAGCCCGCCTTCCAGCCACCATTTCCGTTAAATCAAGGGGTACTACAGAAATGTAGAACCTCAACATACTTTAATCAATAAATAGCCTTTCATGATTGTTTCGAAATTTTTTTTATCAACCACTTGGAATCGAGGAATTTCTTCGAAGGGGGGAGGAAGCGGAGAGAGTTAGGGGGTGATTCATTTTTGGAAGAAAAAGATTGTTGCGCTCGAAAATTTTTTTCTTATCGGTTCCCACATTTTTTCTTCTGACTTTGATTTGCACGTTGTATGTACTGCGACATTGAGTATGTTATAAGCAGGGTTGAGCAAAAGGTCAGGCACAAGCCCTTCAAAAACGACTCCTCCCCCCTGTGAAAGCCCCTTAACGACCCTCCGCTTCACCTCCAAGCTCTCAGGGTGTTATATTTTGAAGAAGACCAGCCTTCACTGCAGGTTTCTATTTTTTGAAAGTTTGTAGGCCCGAATTTCTGCGATTGCACAACCACACGCAACTTGACGGCAAGTTTTAGATCTGGATAGTCCTCTTTTCAGAGCTATAATTTTCACAAGGGTGGAGTGTTTGGCTCCAAATTCTCAATATAGCAAGAAGAGGCTTTGCGCTCAATACTCATATCAGAAAAGGGGCAATTTTTGAATTTTGAAGGCAAGTTAAGAGGGTCAGGCGCAATCCCTCAAAAGCTCAGGCGGCCTGACCTTTTGAGGGGTTGCGCCTGACCCCATTAACTTTATTTCCGAAAATGCTTTTCTACATAAGTTTCATGTGATTCGCTAGCACAACCCTCGAAGATTCCACAGTCAGTGTTTGAGCTTGATTGTTTCGGCCTTGTGCTAATCCGAGGAGTTGAAGCACTCAACGTGAAAAACGCGCCGGTTAGAATTTTGGCAGCACTTCTTACTTCACTGTTTGAAAGCGATATGAAGCCCGATTTGTAGCGTAGACTTGTAAGAGAATATTACTTTGTTATGAGTATACAAAGCTGACTTTTCTCACTGCTGCAACCAAGTTGATCACGCTTGAAAATCACGCTTTTTAGACGTTGAGAAACACTAGAAACTGCAGTAGGTAATGGTTTGTAGAGCGCATAGAGGTAATTCGACATGTTGATTATGTAAATGATACCAATTTCACACAGCAAGCCTCCTTGTCGACCTCATATGTCAAGTTAAAAGAGATGAAGATTTGAATTTTGGCTGAAACTTCCATTGTGGAAACAATCAGTATGCTGTTTATGACCATCACTCCTTCACGTGATCGCGATATCCACCGGACTAACTCATTTCTTCTTCGCCTTTGCAGTATCTCCCCAACTTAACAAATTCGATTCTTGATTACGTCCGCCTTCAGTCTTACCCTCAATGCGATCCCTCAAGTCGGGCGCGCCTGACCTCACGCTCAACCCTGGTTATAAGTACAAAGAGCATCTCCCCTGAAAATGCTTCCACTGTTTCGCACTAGAGAAGGAAAAATTTTGAAGAGAAGAAAGTACAACTCAAGAGCCTGACTGAAAAAGATGCTTGCTTAGGTAGGATGTGCACAAACGAGCAAGAGAGCGAAGAGCAGACCTTATACACCACATAAATGCAAAGCAGGTTTGCATGTGATTACAGTGAAGCATAGCATGAGACAATTCATGTATGCTGAAACGTAAGTTTCAGCATACATGAATTGTATGCTATAGGGCTCAGAAGGCCAAAGAGAGTCCTTCAAAATTATCTTGCGTAAAAAGGCTATCGCGTAACTCATCGCGAGTTGGATTAGTCGCAAAATTGCGGTCTTTTGTCATATTTTACTGCCATTCCGTTGATTCCGATCAAATATTTACCATGATTCATCCAACAGCATTGATGGGGAAGTCGTCATGCGAAAAAGAGTCATATTTATTTGGCGAAAATGTTCTGGCATCCCCTTTTTTCAGACAACTCTGAGATGAGTAAATTCCCTAGTTATGGGAATGCATAATTCAAAAAAACTTCCTTCTTTGCAAGCGCAAGTTATTCAATGAAGCCAAACTTCATCTTGCCGAGCACTTATTGACTTTTGAACATGAAAATGTTCCTTGCAGCAATATGCAAGATTTTTCCGGAAAAATGCTCTGTGATTCCACGTGGTGCATTTATTGATAAACCTTCAGCTTTGCTAGATTCACATGAGAGCATTACTAATCCAGCTAAGAGCCTCAGCCGATATCGCAAAAAACGATGTTTCCAGCTTCATAATATGGTGCTTTTACACTTGGTAAACATATTACTTTCTTCATATGTCATGCTTTTCACTTACTTTCATGTACGGATACGATTTTAGCATTGCCTGATAGGTCGTAATATTTGATGAAATCAATCTTGCTTTTGTTTCATTGCTGAGTGCGGTGTTTGGATTTGATTAATTTTAAAGTACAGACAAAGAGCTCTGAACTAATTACAAGTAGATATCAAATATAGTAGATAGTAGATATTTGCAGATAGTGCTTTGCAGAATATAGATAGAATTGATTGCAGAATCGCAATCAATTCTATCTATAATCTCTATGAGTTCACTTTTCCTTCGAAAAAATAGAAAATGTATTGTCAGAGTCTTCAGCTCTTCAAGAAATTGGATTTCATTTCGAGCTCTAGCTTTTTATGTTGGAGAATATTCTAGCGTGCAAATTGAATTGATTGCTCTGCAACCATATCCCCAGATTATTTCCTGGGCATTTACATCTCGAGCCATTCATTGCGCTATTTGCTACATTCTCCGCGTTATGTTTTGTAATTCTGTCGTTTGAGGAAAGAAATCTAGACAGTGCTTTACTAATCACGTACGGCGCAATGGCTTTACGGTTTAAAGTTTCTGTTGTTCGTCTTTCTTGATCAATAAGGCCATAGACTTAATGAGACTTGAAAGAACTGGAGGTTACAAAGTTCAGCTCATTGTTCTCTCTCTAACATTCGCTATGCCATCTCCTGGATTGCTGTCAGATTCACCTACCAAACAATTGAAGCGGATTTTAGGATGCCTATTGGATTTCTTGTCAAACCCTCTCAAATTTTCGGGGTTGATTTGGAGAAAACCTGCATTTTTACCTCAAATGACACTTAGATCTTTCAAAGCGTCTTATCTGCAGCAGTATACCTAGGTCTTACCTTACATCTTTTTATAGACACGCATCCATGTTCATATAGTCTCACCAAAAGTTACTTTCAAGAGCACTTCCAGAGAGTCAAGAGTTGAGAAGAGCGTTCCAATAAATGCTATATAGTTCAAGAGCCGTTGCATACTCACACTTGACCTCCTCGTCAAATAATCGAAAAGTTTGCAGCAGATATGTGTTTTCTTTTTTACTTCGACCCATATGAGGTTCTGCCTGTTTTGCAATTCCTCTATAACAGATCTGTGACTACTTCGAAAAAAGATTGAGCTTTGTCGCGTACTGCAAACTTTTATTTCAAGTTAGTTTTCCTTATGAAAATTTATATCCGACACACACTACTCAGCCAATTGCATCGGAAAGTTCGCGGCCTCAAAGCGTGTTACATGGCGCGCCGCGGCCCTTAGAATTTCAGCCGCACACGCCGCGGCCCATGTATATTTTACCGGGAACGCCGCGGCCAAAGCTGAAATCGGGAAGAGATTACGGGAAGATCGCGGCCCAACCACCTCACTCGGCGGGCCGCAGGCCCTATCAGAGGCCGCACTTCTTACACGCTGTAGTTTAAGGCGCAACCCTCATGAGGTACGTCACAGCGATGGGGCTACCCTAAGTCTTTATGAGGCTGGGTATCGCTTCTCGAATTTGGTCCTGTCTGACAGAGCTGAGTTCTTATGCTGATGAAATAAACCTCAGCAGTCGGATGAGTAATATCGACGACATTAGATGATGTCGACAGATGAGCTAACAAGTTGCTCAATTTGTGCTCAAGTCGTTGTCATGAAAGACACGCCAAAAGATTTTTCACTCTTCCTAGGCCTCACAAGCATGCTAATCGGGTCAACTATCGGGCGCTTACAGGGTGCACCGCGGTCACTTATCGGGTCCAATTTCGTTTATACCGGGCAGCTCGCGGCATGGATGATTGGTGGTCGAGCAAGCACCCGCGAACTTCCCGATGCGATTGTCTGAGTATGCAACCAACACTTTGGTTACTCTCAGTAACGGATTATTCTGTATTTGATTGTAAATGAAAAGACCACTGCTCAACAGATGACACATTACTGCACTAATTGCTAAAGTTCAAGAGCAGATGGTTTGAGAGGGAAAAAAAACAAAAGGCACCTTATGTAGAATCCAGTGGCGTACCCAGGATTTCGGCTCGGGGGGGGGGGGTGCGACAAAAAAATTTCGATGAAGATGCGTGGC